TCCATAAGAGGAAGGGGCCCAGGGTTGATGAACACGGTCTAATCTCTCATTCTTCGTCCGACGAAGATGAGGAAGACAATGACAACGAGAAGTCCGAGGCCACGGCCAAAGACCTTCCCAAGGACGCGGAGCAGAAGTAGACAGGCTACTTCGGAGGGAGGTATGTGAGGATTCGGCCCGGGAACGGGGGCTATAGGCGGTCCAGGCGTGGGGAGACTCGCGTGCCGTGCCGATTGTGGCTGAGGATCGGGCTGTGGCTTAGGGATCGAGCAGCCACAGTATTCAGTATCGCTGTATCCCTCATTATTTTCCTTACCCTCTTACTCAGCGTTCAGGAAGTTTTCCATTGTCTAGACCCTACTGTTATCATATAAAAGACCTAGTATTGTACCGTGTAGAGACAGGCGTTCTACAATCGAGACTTTACCACTGTCTACGAGCGTGTGAACATTTGCCTACCCTATTCGTCGTGTGCGGTATCGGACTACGCCGAAACCTCACAGGGCGCGTCGCGATCAAATCGAAGCCGGCATTTTCCGCGAAAGGGTTATGGCCACAAAATTGTGGCACCGGGCTAGTCCCGTAGCAATATGTAAACTTTAACGGAATTCTACCCATGTCCTTTCATGTTTTCCCGCTCAAGCTTCTGAGTAGCCAATATGGATTCATACTATCTCTCAGTCCTTGACGAACGTAACAGCGCTAGCGTTGTGAGTCGCACTATTCCTGGAATTGTAAGAGGCACTACCGCCTGTTCCATACGTATCCGAAACACAACGCTCTTATTCCATCGCCATTCTGGATTTTGGATCGTCTTTGCTCGCGAGTCGTAGAGCGCTCATGGATGGAGTTTGTCGCGTCGTCTTTTCCGTGGACACCCAAACCGACTCGAACAATGATCAATGTCGGAACAATGCACTGGAATACCGATGTATGTCAATGCCTTCACACTGAAAGTGGAGGTATGCACGTATAATCGGCAAGCCGGGTCCGCCCCTATCCAGTGAGCATTGCTACGTATCGCCCAGAGCATCACGAAGACCACCTGAGCGAAGCAGAAAATCGCACCAGACTCGATAAGGACGATGATGATCTTCATATACTGTCTCGTATGGCGTATAGGTACAGTATTCCTATGTTTCCAAGCTAGGTAATAGATCCGGCCAGCAATCAGAGATGTCACGACAAAGTTGAAGACCAAGGATAATGCGACTGAATGTGGGGGTCGGCAACTCCTGCCAAATTTAAACTCCGACCCGCGCGTCACGCTTCAGCCACACCAGCCAGGAAACCTTTGCACCGTGCGGTGCAAACTTTGGGCTCAGTAGCTACTTTAAAATCAGGAAAAAAATTGTAGATATTCTTTTGTATAGCAAAGAATCTATTCTTCCCGTCCAATTTTACGATTTTGGCCTTGAAGGTAGAAAACCGGTCAATTATGGGGGCTATTTAGCACAGAAACACACACACAAAGTACAAATCGGAAAAAAAGACGGGAAGGATGTAATTCTTCGTTCATAAAATAATATTATATGATTTTTCTGGGAATTGTGGTGCTGTGTGGAATCCACAGTTTGCACCACAACGACGTGCAGCCCAATGAGCCTGCTCGGCAAGTGCCGAGACGCGTTGAACGAGCGCGTCGCGACGCGTCGGGACGTGTTTTTATGGTGACGCATCACTTCTGGTTGGTCTCGCAGCTATTCTGGGCTGCTTGATTGATCTGCTGGGCTTCCTCGTCATGGATAGGCCCCGGATAGGGCATTCTCGAGGACAGAAGACTCAATTCCGGAAGATAGGATCTGCAAAGATTACTGCACTCTTGGAGGCTGCCAAGAGATTCTCTGAAGGCTACCCTTTTAATTCTTTACCAGCCAGCTGCTGTAATGCCTGAGTCTGAGGACTCTGAAGAATACTGCTTTATTACTAATATAGAACACTATATAGACTATAATAGTGCTTCTTATTGTAGATATTATCCATATAGCCCTGTATCTGAGACAACCAATCTATCTCATTGTAGTAGAGCTCACTACCACGAAGGAATATGCCACACAACCCGGATTGCGAGACGCGAGTGTGACAATCACGGTCACGCGGACATTCGGCTGGCAGGAGTTGCCGACCCCCACTGAATGCAATCCTCCCAATAAGTTACGGGACGCAAGTCACGTGCCCCTTTCCACGCATTCGGCACGCGCATCGAAGGTGCCACAACCGCGTCCGACCGCAAATTGAGAGGCGAAAGGCTATTTCAAGGGGCTCCCCATGTGCTATAGGCGGCCCACTGCTATTGTATACGCAGTAATAATGTCAGAAATTTGATATCATGATTGTGTCTTATACTACTTATAGCTGCCACTCCAAGTATGCACTACTTAAAGTCTAATAGGGGAGCAGGGTCTTTCATCACTCAGGAAAGAGGCTTTAATAAAGCAAACTTAGTAGGCAAGCTCATATTTATGCCTTGCTGGTGCCAGGGTTCAGACTTCAAATGGTTGAATGTGCGCCACGTAGCAGTGGATGCTCATTAGACAATGGAATTTCCGGGTGAAAGCATTACCTGATGACAACATTAATATTTAGAGTTTGAGCTGGCAGAGCGT